GTGAGAGTCTGAATTCCTCATGGTAGGGTTAGGAACTCAGATACTGACACTACAGATTGACACTGGTTTTGTGCTCTGACCCAAGGGGAATTTATGAAATCTTTGCTTCCAAATGCAAGAGAGAAAACTATAATTGTCATTGATTACATTTCTTCCTTTTCCTTTCCTTTTTCAACATGTTTTTCCAATCCATAATTTTGTCTTCAATTTAAACCAATGAACCAAATTAACAATATCCTTTTTCAGTATTTGATGATAGTGAAAGAGTTCTTATTTGCAAACATCTGTCATTGTGAATACCTTTGATTACAGTCATCAACAACTATTATCTGATGAGAGCCTTCGAACAAGATCATGATGATGATCTGGTTTCAAAGAGCCTCATTCAAATTCACCAGCACTTGTTTTGCATACGAATAACCTCAGAGACTAGAAAAACTCAAACTCTACTCAAATTTTTATGCAAGTTATACAAGCACTGAGGTATTTTTGGAGCTAATCTAATCTTGTATTATTAGCGTTGGTCTCTTATATCTCTCGGTGTGAATGTCTCTGCCTCTTTTCCTGTCTTAGTTTTCACCCACACAGCTCTTGTTAAATTCTTAGATTGTTTCTGAGTTTTGGGCAGTAATACCAATGCTCTTTGTATATAATTAAGAATCTCTAGCACAATGCAGATTTGTCCTTACATTTTCCTCAAAGCCAAATCCGTTTGTTGTTTCTGGAACAATCCTGATCTTAAATGATCTTGTTGTTGGCCTCTAGAAGCAAAATCTTCCTTACGCATTATATGACTATAATATTAAAGTAAAAATCAAAGTGTCCATTATGGTTAAGACACATACAATATTCTTCGGTCAAGTTCCCGTCCACATGTCACACCCCCCTCTCTCTTTCTTTTCCAACATTTTCTGTCTGGATCTCTACTGTGTCTCTCAAATAAAAAAAAAACACCCAAAATATCTCGATCTATAATGATGATGGAAAACGAATCACTCCAAAGGCCTGTAAGGAAGTCTGCCTTTATTATGTTGCTCCACTCATGTCATCCTGTCTATAGATTATTTAAAAACATATAAATGTCCACAGTTTATAGCAAAGCTTGGGATGACTTGGGTGGGGACACATTTATTTTACCAAGAACGTCCCATTGAAACAGAATCTCTTTTACAAGGGAGACCTGGCCAAGAGGGCAGCGCAGTTAAAAGAGAGTACAAGAAGAATCAGCACAATTAAAATAAAATATAATACAGTACAAAAGACAGGACCTTCAGGGGTCGTACATATAGAATATGTACACAAACAGAGTGACAGATGCATACATATATCCAGCATAACTTGATGGATTAAGTATTAAAACAGGTGCATGTATCAGTTGAGATTTCTGAGATCTTTTTTTTGTAGGCAGCCAAAGAGATGAGTATGCCAAATTTAAGCTTAACCCGGAGCTCAGTCCAAGACCAGGGTCCGTAATAAAACTGACTCCTCTTGCCAGCTTCTGTTCGCAAATTTGGCACCTTTAATTGCAGTATTTTATCTTAGATTATATATACTTTGTATGGGTAAAAAACTGTAACCTTCCAAGAACGGCCTTGTAGATGAAAACATTCCTGCATGTACCAAGGGATGTCCAGTTTACCAAGATACATAAGATACAATGATGTGTCTTATAGTCTGCATTTGTAATAAATCTGAGAGCACCATGATAAAGAGCATCTTTATTTTTATTTTTTGTTTTGTTGGATACTAGTATTGCTCTTTGACCAGTATATAAATGTTTCCTTCGTCTTTTTGATGACGTGCTGTGAATATTGATCCCTATTTGTGTGTCTCAGTAGTAGCTAAGGCCGTCATGCGTCAGTGGTTTGATGACACCTTCAGGCAAGAATGCCAGTGTCTTGGTGTGATAATGGTGCATGCGCTGACACGTGTCAGATCAGCGTGCAGAGCAAAACTTTGTCACTTTGATAGATGGAGAGATTGGTTTGTAAACGTGGAGTACTGTTCCGTCTGGCTGTCAAATTTAGGATACATTATTCAAATAGCCTGGATGCCTCAAAACGCCATCTCTAACTGACAGGTAGCTGAAAAACTGCTGTGTTGGTGTATGTGTATAGAGAGAATGTGCACACTCTGCATACATCATCTGAGCACTTGAAGCGCTACATCCTACACTTGGGAAACCTGTGATTGACACTTAAACATTTTCCCCAACCTGTCATTAGATTAGAATCATGTAGGCAGATTCCTCCACACCATGTTGCTTTCATGTCTACCTTTCTCAAGGAGTATCTCCAGGCGCTCAGACTTGAAAGGGTTGTCCAGCCATATTAACTCCTGTAGTGGATTGATTGGTTGACCTTTGTATTGATCTGTATGGCCCTTTGCAGGCTCTTCCCACAGACAGACCAGACGAGTGTTCCCTCCACATCTCCCTTAGGAGAATCCTATCTTGTATCTCCCAGGATAAGCAGGCTTTGATAACGAAGGGAAAGCCCAGAGGAATTGCAGCTTTTCCACCAAAATAAACATCACAGCGTGGCAGGAGCAGTCGTATTTAATCTCACCCTCTGTCAATGTTGAGGCCAGGCTTGCTGTATGTGCTTCGCACACATGCATGCTCGCTCATGCTGTATGCACTCACTGACACACAAAATCAAATAGTGGTGTGGCAGCAGCATTGACTCCTGTATCTATCATGCTGTTACTCAAACACCCATCCCAGCCTGAGTCTGATCTGCTGCGCCAAGCAATCCCCTTATCAGCACCTGGCACACCACACTGCCTTATGCCAGTCGGGTCCACAGTGCCAGGACTGTCAGCCTATGACTGAGGCTCAGACACACTTCTTGTCCCTCCATTTGCCTCATGGATTTATAATAATACCACTTAGTTTGCCTCATCACACAGCTAAAAAACACAATCTGTGAATCTGAGTGGCCCCTTGTAGTGCCTGTCCAGACTGGGAGAACATTGCGTTTTTCTGTAGTTACACTCTTATTTTACACTTTTATATTACTGTAAATGCTCTCCTTCTTTTGATAATGTGAAGAAGCTGGAGGGAAGGATTTGGGTAAGAGGAGGCTCCTTCACATCGACCATTAAATCCTGACGGTCTCTCCATCCTTCAGTCCTTTCTTCATGTGCTCTTACTCACTTAATCTTTCCACTCTTGCTGTGCTACAGCCACTCAATCCGCCTGACATGAAATGTATTGCAGTCAGGCCCAGTGATTGCTCTACATCATCCTGTGTGCGATCCCGTATTGACAGCACTGAAATCTCTTCCTTGTACAGAGCAATCTAATCATTACCACTTTAAGAAATGGCAACTGAAAGAATGGCCCAAAATAAAAAGCACACAATCCAACATAAATACAGATGTTATAAATTATACATAGGCCACCCCCACCTTCTCTATGTGTTAAAATGAATATTTCATAAATTCAAGCTCAGCCATCCACATCATATTAACTGTCTGCGCTTGTCAGAGCCGCGTCGATGACGAGAGGAGAGACTCCCCCCTTGTGTGTTCTGAGCTGCCGCCTTAATTGCTTTCCAAAGCTTTACATAGTCTCTGTGTAGCAGTAGGTTTATCAGACGTGGCGAGTGTAATGTCTTGGGTAGTCAGCTTTCACAGAGTGGTCACGTTGGGGGGAGGTTGTCTGAGCAGGAGCTAAATGAAAACGTCTAAAGGGATAAAGAGCCATATTATTTATTTTGTATTGTTTCCCGGTGGGTAACTCATGACTTGTAGCAATAAATTGTGCAGTAATACATAAAATCTTGTTTTTGGAGTATCTGACTAACATCAAAAGGGAGTAATCTAGGGGTAGCTCTGTGCGGTCCCCTTGTGAATAACAGTACAAGGCCAGCACTACCTCCTCTCTGCTTAACTGTCCAGAACTGATCCGTCTCCTGCTAGACCTCAGCAGAAACATGATCTCTAATCCTCTGATCCCCTCTGAACCCCCTGAAGTGTTTTAGTTATCGTCCACCTCTACAAAAACTTCAATGGGTGAGAACACTTTAACAGATCAGAGGAGGATGGTTTAACTTTGTTGTAACAATCATACTGCTGGATTTTGAAGAGAGGATACGCGCTGCCTCTCAGAGAAAGCTGTGATGTGGAAACTTAACTTGTTCCTTCTTATACTTCACTTTCCTTTGTTGTGTTTCCAACGAATCTGTGACACATGTGCTTTTCTCCTATATTATGTGACTTGTGACTGTTCTTGTGCCATTAAAGGTTTAATTTGCAAACATCCAGCACATTTTGTATTTAGTGCTTAACTAGCTTGACCTTAGTCAAGTAAAGAAGTAAATTTTTAAAGAAAAGCCTTATTTCAGTATCAAGGTTACAGAATCGAATGAATGTGTGCTTCCTTTCAACGCTGCTGCCTAAAAATATCCTACAGTACAAAGCACCTTTGACAAGTATAAAAACTGTAACAATGGACCTTTCTCCATAGCAACTAATGTGTGGCTTACAGCCAAAGTTTACAGATTGTTTTTTAGAATTTGCTTCGCTTCATTTGCTCTCACAAAATTCTTTTATTTTATATTTAGATAATAATTTAAAGTTTTTTAAACTGAAGTTAAAACAGAAACAAGCACCCATGTGGCCTAAGGGTTTAGGCTTATTACATAATCTTTCCTATACAGATGCAGTTTAGATGAGTAGCTTAAAGTAATCATGTTGTCCATTTACAGTTTTCATTTTGCGACTTCATTTCAAACTCTGCTACCAGTTGGGTATTGATAACCTATAGTTTATTTCAGGCCTGTTTAAAAATTAGAAATGCAATGAAACCGGTGCTGAGCTGTGGCTTAGTAGCCTATTTGCTCTACTGACGTTACTTTATTTGTAAAAAAGCACAATACTGTTTTTAGGCTATACCCAAATTATAGTTTCAGTCAGGATAACCTTCATCAGAGAAACTGATATTTGCTCCGCTGTAGTTATGTTTGGCGGTATGGCCCGTCCATGTGCACACATGG